CAATTTGGCCTTGAACTCCTCCTGCCTCAGCCTCCTGAGTGCTGGGATTACAAGCGTGTGCCGCAATGCCCTGCCACAATTCTTTAAAATAATCCCAAGCTGTTTTGAAATTCCTGTGCCATTTTACAAGCCTGAAGCAGCAAATAGGAGTTCCAGCTACCCTGAACCCTTACACACACATGATGTGGTCGTCTTGATTATGGCCATTTTAAGTAGGGAAGTTGAGGTGTCAATGTAGTTTTACTTTGCGTTTCCTTAACCAACAATATTGACCATCTCTTCAGATTCTCAGCCAGGTGGTGTCTTCTCAAAGTCTTTTGCCCATCTTTTAAAAACTGAAATGTGTGTCTTTGTGTTTTATTATTGAGAAGAATATTTTGGTAGAAGACCTTGATAAAGGTATATGATCTGCAAATATTTTCTCCCAATCTTTGACTTACCTTTACTTTCTTAATAGTGAAGAGCAAAATATATTAATTTGAATGAGATCTAACTTACCAGGATTTTTTCTTTTATGACATACTTTTGGTGCTGTGTTTAATAACTCTGCCTAACTTCACAAAGATATTCTCCTGGTTTTTCCCCCGGAGCTCTCACATTTAAATCTGGCCTGTTTGCTAAATAAAGTTCTTACGTTGAGATAATTTGGGGTTTACAGGAGAACTGTAAAGGTGGAGAGTGCTCATAGTCCCTTACCCACTTCCTCCCCAAAGGTGAGCATCTTACGCTGCCAGACTGCACCCGCCAGATACTCACGGGACTCAACAGCCACAGGTTTCTCCGTGAACGGCCTCCACTCTAGGGTCCAGTTCGGGACTGCATGGTGTTTACATGTCACGTCTCCACGACTGCCTCGGTCTTGAAAGACCTAAGCAGTTTTAGAGCCAAGGATTTAGCTCAGTGGTTCCACCGCCTGCCTCGCAAACCAAAGGACCCGAGTTCAATCACCAGTACCAAAAAAAAAAAAAAAAGATGTAAGCAGTTTTAAGGAACAGCGTTCAAGTAGTTTATACAGATGTTTGTTTCTCAGCTGGGGTCACTGCTGTTTTTCTGGTGGTTAAGCTGGGTTTCTGAGCTTGTGGGAGGAAGTCCACAGAGAGAAAGTGACAGCCTCTTGATGGCGCATCAGGGGATGCATGCAGATGTGACTTTGGTCTCTTGTGATATGGCTCTGATCACCCGGTCAGTTTGGGAGTTCCACTGTGTCCTCCCCAGTACTCTCCATAAACCATTTGTAATTCTCTGTAAAGACCAATCTCCCCATCTACCCCAACCCCCACTTATTCAGCATTTATTTACTTTAGTTTGGGGTCATCAATATGTACTTTACACTTTGGGTTATAACCTAATGCTGCATTGTTTTGTTGCTCCTTGTTCCAGCTTTGGCCATTGAGAACTCCTAGGTTGATTCCTTGTGTCTGGCTCATCTTTATTTTCACTGCCCAAGTCATTTCTCCAAGGAATCTGGAGTTTGTTTGTTGATTGCTTTATCTGTTTACCGGAATGATATTAGAGACCAAGATCTGGTGCTACTGGGTGTGTGTTGCCACTCGGGTGTTATGTACACTGAGACACACCCACACACTGGTGATTATTTCTGCATCTGTACACCCGTATCTCCATTAAGGGACAGGTGACTTCCTACTTCTGTCTCTTACTCTGCAGCTCAGTGTCACAGGGTTCATTCTGGGGTCTGCAGAACTGTCCCCCTGAGTCTTTGCAGTGCCACCTGATTGATTTTCAGTGTCGAGGATACAGGGCAAATATTGGCACTATCGGCAAGATTGGATAATCAGGTTTAATAATCTGTTATTGTGCTAAGGCTTTAATAAGAATCTTTACCTTGCTAGGTGTCCTTGCATGTGCCTGTGATCCCAACTATTGGGGAGGCCAAGGCAGGTTTATGAGTTTGAGGCCGGCCTGGGCAGTTTATCGAGACCCTGTCTCAAAAAGGGCTGGTACCTGTAATGCAAAAAGAAAGGTTTTCCTTGAGTCTTACAGCTAATAAATAGTCTATTAAATGCCTGTCCAAGTCCCTCCCCACCCCAGAGAAAACAGCAAAATATAGGATAGCCCATTTGCTTTGCCTCACATAGACACAACCGCCCCAGAGTAGCAATCCTCATAATACTCCCGCTACTAAATGATGATCACTGAGAAGAATTGGAGGGTTTTGAATCTGCCTGCCCTGCCAGTGAAGTGAATCTTCGTGTGTTCACTGCTGGGTCGTATGGCGGTGAGGCGTCCTGTTGTCCCTCTGCGCAGCTGTGCTGTTAGGCTGGATCATCTGACAGCCTGTGTGGTAGGCCCTCATCTGGTCATTTTGATTCTCTAGGCTTGTTCTTTAGTTCCAGGGATAGCACAGTTCTTCTGAAAAGGGTTACATAGTCAATACTTAGGCTTTGTGGACCAAAAAGGATCCACGTATTTATCTGTGTAACATTGTTTTTAAAATGTAAAAACTCTTTTTAGCTTGAGAAATGTACAAAAATATCTTGCCTGGAGTTTGCCTACCTTGCTGTAGTGGCTTCCTCAGGAAAGGCTCCTGGAGACAGCATAGAAAATCCTTGGCTCCAGCCTTCTTTCCTTCCTTAGGTATTTTAAGTGTTCTATTCATTTTCTTTAGGCATAAAATGTTGCCATTGAAGCCTAATGATAACATTTCCTGAAGTTGCTTGCTAGTTTTGCCTAGATCCTAGATGGGATTTTTTTCATTTTCTTTGCAGTCTACTTGTGGGTCATTCGTGGCTGATATCCTCAAGGATGTGTTGTGCTTTTTCAATATCTAGTTTTCAGGTATTTAAAAAAAATTTTCTAGATTTATGGTAGTTACTATTATGTTTTATTTCCTTCCATTAGTTTTTATTTACATGAATGCCTATTGCACAAACCCTCCCCTTATCTTTTCTGCTTACTTTCAGTATTTGTCACCTGTCACTTCGTTTTGGGTCCTTTTGAGTCAGGGTCTCGTAATATAGCCAGGCTGACCCTGAATCGAGACCCTTCCCCCCCAGCCTCCGTGCTGGATTACAGGCACATGCTTCAGATGTTTGTTCTCCTTGTTCTTTTGATTTTTTATTACCAATTCTCTGGAGCCTTACTTCTGAGTTTTCCAAATCTGATTTAGACTCTTCTTTCTTTCATATCATTGTCTTAATAACTTTCAGCCCTCTTTGCAAGAGGGCAGTTTGATTTACTTTCTGGTCATGTTTTAGTGGCATGCATTTATTGTCTGAAGTTGGTATTTTCTTTATCTGAAATTGATTATTCTACATTGTTAGAAGGAGATGTGATTCAGAGGGGTTTTTTTGTTTTTGTTTGTTTTTTCGTTGTTGTTGGTTTGGTTTTGTTTTGTTTTGTTTTTTGTACTGGGGATCGAGCTCTGGATCTTGTGCTTTTGAGACAGGTGGCAGAACCACTGAGCTAAATCCCCAGCCCAGAAATGTGATTCAGGATAGTTTTTCTGACTTTTCCTGACTCTTCAAGTGCTGGACTTGGTCCCTTTTTTGTGATGCTAGGGTTCAAGCCCTAGCTCATGGGAGGCCAGTGCTCAGCCACACAAATGTTGGGCCCTTATTGGACATTTCCACCTTGTTTCTGCAGGTATATTTGCAAGATGCTTGCTTTGGATTACAGTAACGATCCCTAGGCACAGTTTGGTGACAAAAATAAAATATTATCAAAAGAAACATAGAGCCATCCTGTTGAAATTAAATTCTGCTTCAGGCTGGTGATTTGCCAGGAGCCTAACAGATGTCAGGTATCAGTTTATTTCAGATTTGAAGTATACCAGGTGCCCTTAAGAGTTGGCCTATTTGGAGATCGTACACACCCAGATGTGTATTCAGAAACCAGTATGTGTTTCTTTGGGGATGGCAGTACTTTGAGTTAAAAAGGAACAAGAGAGCACACCCCATGTTTACTGACTGTGGTGTTCAGGTATGTTTGGTGGTAAATATTTGAGTTTGCTTTATGATCTGCCACTGTGAATTTGACTGACTTCTAGTTTGAGATGCCAGATTTTACAAAGAAAACTTTGTATTTTTTCAAGAAAAGGCAAAGATATGGATATAGTAGAGAAATCCAGATTGCATGGTAGTAGGATTCATCATGCACAGAATCGTAGAGGTTGTACCAAGTGGAACTTGTCTTTCGTTTCTTTATTTTTGAGACAGGATCTCATTGTGTACTGCAGGCTGGCCTCGAACTCATGGGGATCCTCCTCCCTCAGCCTGCTGAGTGCTGGGATTACAGGCATGCACCACCACGCCAAACAGGTCTCTAATTTATATTAAAATGAAGAGAAAACAGTTGACCTCCAAGAGCCACCAGACATTTTTAAGTGACTGACAACTATAGCTTTTTGTGCAGAATTAGTTGAAGACTGTCCTCTGCTCTCCTTAGTAAGTTATAACCCTACCAGGTAAAAAGCAAAGCATAGAAGGTGCTTGTGAAGACAGTATAACCGGTGCCTCCTGGACCTTTTCTTAGGTTCTCTTTCCAGGATCCCAGGTTTGTGGAGAAGTGGTAAAAAGATGTGTCCTTGATGGAAACGAGTTGAACAAAAAGCCGACTGTCTCTTCTTACCCCTTCATTCCCAGCCCCCTTTCTGGATTTTTAAAAATCCAGCCATTGGTACTTCAGGCTGTACTGCTCATTAATGGTTACAGAGTTCTACAGAGAGCCCATAATGGAGGTTGTACAGGTGGCACCACGAGGGCAGCAGACTGCTGCAACTTAAGTGCTTGCCACTGTTTTCACTCTACACTGCTGTCCAAGTTCTTGCTAAGATGCATAGAAAAGGGAACGTGATTTTGTTAAGCTGTGTTTTCATCTCCTTTTACAGTCCTAGAATTAAACCCAGAGACTTGTATACATACCAGGCAAGCACTTTACCACTGAACTATATCCCCAGCCCATTTTTTTGAAACAGGATCTTGGTCTTGCTCAGGCAGGCCTCTAACTTGTGATCCTCCTGCCTCATCCTCCCAAGTAACTGGAATTATAGTTATGTGGCACCACACCCAGGTGTGTTGTTTTTTTTAAACAGGGTCTTACTACATCTTTCAGGCTGGTGTCAGATTGATAGCATTCCTCCTGCGTCAGCCTCTTGAGTGCTGAGATTACAGGCTTGTGCCACCATGCCTGGCTTAAACCATGTTTTTATAAGACTAGGTTTATAAATTATAAAGACAAATCCTAGGTTAGAAAAGGCCTTCAATATCAAGGTATGTCTCCCTTGAAAGGTTTCATTGTCTTCGTTAGAGACTGGTTTCAACCATTTGTTTGGTTTTTTGCAGTACTGGGGCTGGAACCCAGGGCCTTGTGCATGCTAGACAAGTGCTCTACCGGCCCTTAGCAGGACTATTGAAATCACCTGTCCTAGTAGGAAGCCTGACCCCGGACACTCCTGTGACAAACTGTGCAACTGCTTCCTCTGGCGTTTGTGGACAGGAAACACTTCCTCTTACAGTGGAGCTGGCCCAAAAGTCAGGCGGAGGAGCAGTGTATAACTGTGCCGTCCTCTCCCGCAGTGTTTTCCATGGGAAACAGTACAAGCAGACTCTACAGTGCTCTGGCCAAGACCCTGAACAGCAGCACCGCCTCTCAGCACCCAGAGTACTTGGTGTCACCTGACCCAGAACATCTGGAGCCCATTGATCCTAAAGAGCTTCTGGAGGAATGCAGGGCTGTCCTGCATACTCGGCCTCCCCGCTTCCAGAGAGACTTTGTGGATCTGAGGGCAGAATGCCCCAGCAGCCACCCACCCATTCGGGTCATGCAGTGGAACATCCTCGCCCAAGGTAGGCTTGACGCTTTAGTCCTGGGCAGTGAGGTTGGCCCTGACTTCCTGCTTCTGCTCCTGCACAGTGCACTGGGAAGAGATGGGGTAGGTGGAGATGTGGAGGGGGCAGTGGCTGCGGGTTATTGGGCAGCACAATGGCACAGCCTCAAACTTTGGTGTTGCCTCCAGGTTTCAGTGTATAGCACCAAGGTAGCATTTTCAGGGAACAGAACTTTTTTTTTTTGGTATCAGGGATCTGTTTCTGCGCTTTCGAGGCAGGCGGCAGAACCACTGAGCTAAATCCCCGGCCCAGGAACAGATCTTCAGGAAGAGCACATTTCTGTAGGTTTACTAAAATACAGTGATACCTCGGTTCAGGAACACTTGTTTGCAAACAATTTGGTTTCAAAACGGCCTTTGGCAAAATTTTGTTTTTGTTTGCAAACTGCAACAGGTGACTAACACAACCAGAGCCATCTTTTCCTGCATGAACACAAACGTGATCATCTTTTCCATAATTGTGGAACAGATTAAGTTCATGAGCCGAGATACGCCTGTGCTTTGTGGCAGTAGCAAAGTCAGATGATGCATCAGCCAACCTTCAGTAGTATTGCCATCTGTGTAGCAGTCAAAATTTTAAGAAAAAGAACCACAGGCCTATTTATGTATGTCTTTATGTGCTGGAAAAGAAGGGAACACTTGACTCCTAGTCTTAGGTTCTTTTATTTTTCCAATTTTTTTTTATTTGTTTGTTTTGTTTTGAGACAGGGCCTCACTTTGTAGTGCAGGCTGGCCTTGAACTCATGGGGATCCTCCTGCCTCAGCCCTGAGTGTTGGGATTACAGGCGTGAACTATCATGCTTTGCACATTCTTTTTATGGTACATGGGATTGAATCCAGCCCCTTTGCACTGAGCTACATCCTTTTGTTGTATTGTTTTTAATTTTATTGAGTAGAGGGTCTAAATTGCCCAGATTGGGCTCAGACTTATAGTCTTCCTGCCTCAGAGTCCCACAGTGCTGGGATTATACCTGTGCATCACCAGGCCTGGCCTAAATGTTCTCTTTCTGGTGGTTTTGTCTGTGTGTGTGTGTGTGTGTGTGTGTGTGTGTGTGTGTGTTTCTTTTTCTTTTTTGAGATAGGACCTCACTGTTTAATTGAGGCTGGCTTTAAACTCACAGGCCCAGGCTGGCCTTGAACTTGGAGGGATCCTCCTGGCTCAGCCTCCTTAATGTTGGGATTATAGGAATGCACCTCCATGCCCAGCCCAAGTATTCATTCTTAAGTAGGAAAATTAAAATAAATCTCATTCCTCTGAGTTGTGCTCTTTATATAGTTTATGTGACTTTAGTACAGTCAATGTTAAAACTAGTATGTAGAGTTAAGTTTGTTTCGCCTGATGGAGCTCAGGTCCCAGGGGCTGCAAAGAACAGTTTCTCCACCGAGGCTTCCTTTCTGGAATACAGCTCTGTGAAATAGCTTTAACACACAAGACCTCACTCAGTTGCTTGCAAGAGGTTATTTAGTTCTGGTGGAAGAGCAGTTTTAGACAGAAGAAGCACCAGAGTATGTGGAGTGGAGGGGACGTCCTGAGCGTCTTTCGGAGGTCAAACCCAGGGCGACTCCTGGGCACTCTGAGGTCGTGGTTCTGGAGTAGCTGACAACCGCCGGCTTTTTCTTTTCAGCTCTCGGAGAAGGCAAAGACAACTTTGTACAGTGCCCTGTTGAAGCGCTCAAGTGGGAAGAGCGGAAATGCCTCATCCTAGAAGAAATCCTAGCCTACCAGCCCGACATCCTGTGCCTCCAGGAGGTGGACCACTATTTCGACACCTTCCAGCCGCTCCTCAGTAGATTGGGCTACCAGGGCACATTCTTCCCCAAGCCCTGGTCCCCTTGTCTAGATGTCGAACATAACAATGGGCCAGACGGCTGCGCCTTGTTTTTCCTCCAGAACCGATTCAAGCTGGTCAACAGTGCCAATATCCGGCTGACGGCCATGACACTGAAAACCAACCAGGTGGCCATTGCCCAGACCCTAGAGTGCAAGGAATCCGGGCGACAGTTCTGCATCGCTGTCACCCACCTGAAAGCACGCACCGGCTGGGAGCGGTTTCGATCAGCCCAGGGCTGTGACCTTCTCCAGAACCTCCAGAACATCACCCAGGGAGCCAAGATTCCCCTGATTGTCTGTGGGGACTTCAATGCAGAGCCCACCGAAGAGGTCTACAAACACTTCGCTTCCTCCAGCCTCAATCTGAACAGTGCCTACAAGCTGCTGAGTGCCGATGGGCAGTCCGAGCCGCCCTATACCACCTGGAAGATCCGGACCTCGGGGGAGTGCAGGCACACCCTGGACTACATATGGTACTCCCAGCGCGCACTCAGCGTGAGGTCGGCACTTGACTTGCTCACTGAAGAACAAATTGGACCCAATCGGCTCCCATCCTTCCATTACCCTTCAGATCATTTGTCTCTGGTGTGTGACTTCAGCTTTAATGAGGAACCCGACGAGCTTTTATAAAAGCTTGTCTGTGTGTTTTTAGTCACAAGTCTTAACCAGGGAGGTTTCAGGAAACTGAAATAGGATAAGTAGTTGCCCAAAAAAAGATTCTAGTTTCTGTCATTTCATTTTTCATGTTTCCAGCATGCCCTTAGAAAAGACTCTATTCGTTCACAACCCTTTTCAGTTAAAACCTGCAGTGAAAAGGCGTTCGCACTCCAGTTGGGGCTGGTATTGTTTCCTTTCCCTTTCCATCTTCAGTCAGTCACTTACAGGCATTCAGTTAGGTTTATTTCGAAGCTTTTTCCAGTTTGAGGCTGCTGTAAAAACTCAGGCTTGCTGGATAGAGTCCTCCATAGTTAACATTAAGTATGTAGGGACGGTTTCTTTAGACAGCATTTCAAGTTATTTATTTGTGGGTTTTTAAATGTCAACAGGATGTGCATGGCAGTATTTATTTTTTATACCTTTATGTAAAATTAAGTAAATTATAGCATTATGAACATTTTAGAACCATGCAAAAAACACAAGTTATAGAAAAAGTAACATTTCATCTGGTGGTCTAACAACATGTGTATAAGGAACTGCTCGACCTGGAGGGTGTTTGCTATTTGATGTATTATCAGGTCTGCGATACATTCTTCATAAATAACCCTTGTGGTCCCTCCATGTTCTCCATGACTGTGTTTCTTGAAGGATTCCAATTAGTGTTCAATTAAATGAATGTTTTCATTATTTAATCACTACTTTGTATTTGTCCTTTTTCCATTATTAGCATACACACGAGGGCTTGTACCCCCGTTGCTTGTATCGGCATGTGCTTTCTGCAATAGGTTACTTAGGAGCTTTTATGTGCCCGTGGCCGAGAAAGCCTGCAAATGGGCCGCCACTGAAATTGCCTAGACCAACCAGATATCTGGTTCAAAACATCTAGGAAGATGAAAAGTTACAAGATACCTGGATTATTTCTCTTACACAGAAGTGGTATGAGAGATGGTAGTAAGTGCTGAAGCCTCTTGCAAAGAAAATAACCTGTCGATAATAAACTGATAAATATTTTAATAGGAATTGTAAATAAGATTAGTAAATGGCCTTTTAAAGCTAGTGCTTTTAATATCTTGTCTTTTAGTCCAAAAGTAACCTGAAAGTAGGCTGGATCCTTTCATATTGTTATGTGGTGACCTGCAGTATCTGTACACACACAGCCTTCACTTCACAGTGTTTACAGGCTTTACAGTGGACAGTGTGCAGCAGCACCTTTGCTAAGCTTTCCTGGTGGCTCATGCCCAGGTTCAGGTCCCCGGGTTGATTCACCCAGACATTCTGTGTTGGCACAGGTAAGGTTTTCAGTTATGTTGCATACCCAAAACCTAGGGTTCTCGGCAAGGAGAACATCTGTACCACCCGTAGTACTGGTTTAAATCCTAGCGTGACTAATGGTAATCATGTTGAGAAACAACACAGACATAGAGGATTAATCCAGGGATTGAGTGTCATTTACCTTCTCCAGAGTCTGTCAGCCTGAAGAGAAATGATGGTGGCCTTGAGCAGATCTAGATGGAAATGACAGCCAAACTAGTGTTGGCATTTCCAGCGCTGTCTACATCTACAGTACACGGATTAACAGGGCACGGGCTGGGGACGGGAATGTGGGCAGGTAGGAAAGCCACTGGCCCATGGTTTCTGGAAGTAACACAAGATCGAGATGTGACTTAAGGAGATGGAGAAGAATCTACAGTGAAACTCGTGGCAGGAGGCTCAACATGATGCGTTTGCAGGTTGATGCCTATTGCTTCACTTTTAATCCTATGAGCATTCTGTGAAATTTTAGGAGTCTATAAATCTTGTGTTGCATTCCCGTTTGTACTTTATCTGAAGTCTGTAGACTGTTAACTGTACCCTGAAGGCGTAATGGAAGTCACATTTGTTCTGCAGCACAAAGCATGGATCATAAAATTTTAAGTACATTATGTTCTATGCAGATTTCTTTCTTACATGTGTAATAGTTTGTCATGAAAATGGCCCTTAGGAGATGTCTTGGGCACATCAGAAGAGTTGAGACTAGAGTGGATTTTTGCTTTCTTCCACTGCATTTCAGTAGCTTCCATTCTACATGGTGGCGGTAATGGTGCTATTTATTTGGGGGTTTTTTTTGTGGGGTTTTTTTGGTACTGGGGATCGAACTCAGGACCTCACGCTTACAAGGCAGACGGCGGAACCACTCAGCTAAATCCACGGCCTGAGTAATGGTGCTGTTCATTTTTTGGCTTTTTGAGACAAGGGCTTGCTATGTAGGTCAGGCTGGCCTTGAACTCACTATATAGTTGATGCTGGGTTTGATCCTCCTGCTTCAGCCATGTCATGAGTGCTAGGGTTACAGAAATGCTAGGATTACAAGCTTGCACCACCATAATCACCTTGACTCCTTTATTTAAATAAAGCATTATGTTGTATTCATAGGAAGAAACTAACATTTGCATTTTTGACTTCAAGAGTTTTGCATGTGATCATAGCCAGGCACAGCTGCACACACTTGTTAATCTCAGCACTTTAGGAAGCTGAGGCAGGAGGATTCCAAGTTCAAACCCAGCCTGGGCAACTTAATGATTTAGGGAGGCCCTGTCCCCAAAAATACTAAAAGGACTGTGGATATAGCTCAGCACGTAGCTTCAGTCCTCACTACTGAAATGGGAAGAAGGAAAACAAGAAAATTTCTAGGTAAAGTGACTGCTGACAGTAGTGAGAACTCAGATCCAGGACTCCTTCACTGGAATGTGCTTGCTTTTCCCTACCACTGTGTTCCGCTCTCCTTGACTGCAGAGAGGGAGGGAGAGGCATTACATCGTGGGGGAACAAGAGATTTGTTAAGTGAAAAGCAGTCAACCCTAAAATGGCCAAGGCCTGGGAGTTGAGTTATAAGTTAGATGGGGGAAAGAGCACCAGGCCAAAGGCATAGCCTCCCTGCAAGCAGGGACCCTGAGCTTGACACTAGGGCAGTGACAGTAAACCTTTCAGCTTTCAGTGATACAAACAGCCCACTGGGGCTTCGCTGCTAGGGCCTTGCTCTCTCCCAGAGTGTTGTATCCTGTCTTCCTCACAGTTTGAGACATCTGCTTGTGTGCGTCATTGAATAATAAGAGAAAGGTTTGTACTTTATGTTCTAACAAACTATTGCTTTGACCGATGAGAACAACCCTTCAGTTTGGAAGGGCAGAACCCATGGCGTCCAGAAAAATTTAAGCTCAAAATAGGCAAAGGGCTGCGAGAGTGGCAAGAACTAGGCTTCTCCCTGGGCAGCAGGTGTGAAGCTGGGGTTAGTGATTAGAAGTCAGCAGTCCTATTTGGCTCCTAAGGTGGGAATACCTGCCCTTGCATGGCAGGATATCCACAGCTACAGGCCCCGCCTCCCAGATTGCTTTGGACATCTTTCTGGGAAAACATTCACATAGGGTGAGGTGTGCAGACAGCCGTTCCCCGGACAGGATGCACGCTGGGAAAGTTGGCCCTTTCTAAGCATCTGTTCAACCTGGACTACAGGAATCTCAACTTTTTTCTGTGCTTGGGCTGCCAAGATATTCACAACCAAAATTAATAAATGATTTTGTACACTATAGCTTGTACTCTGCATGTTAATTTTTATTTGCCACTTTTTCTTTGCCTAATTTTATCTTTTTCCAAATTGATTTTCATGTATTCTTGTAACATAAAATCTCCGCAGTTCTTTTAGTGATAAAAGGAATCAAATTATCCTGACATTTTAATAGACTCAGGCTTCAGGATCTAGGCAGCTTTGGACAAGAATGTAGAAATGTAGAGTCCTAGACATGTGATACTGAGAAATCTAGAAAAATGACCAAAGGTTGGACATAGGGGACATGGCTGCCCATTTGACTCTGGTTTCCATAGATTGGTAAATCTAAAGAGGACACCCAGTAAACACTGCAACATTTTAAAATTCGTTTGGTGAGAAAGGATGATCACATGCTAGAATAGCTGACTCTTACACTACCCTTTTTTCCCTCCCTAACCCTCCACCTTTTTATTGGGAAGGGTGGGGGAGTGAATACGGAACTAAACTGGCACCAGAGGAGGAGTTCAGTTCTATACTGTAGGTCAGGGATGGCAAACCTTTTAGAGGCCGAGTCCCCAAACCGCAACCCAAACCCACCTGCTTATTCCAGAGTGCCAACACTGTCCCTGTGGGCACTGTCATCCAGTGCTTGGCTGCTGGGGAGCTTGGCTCATGTGCCCACAGAGGGCTGTGCATGCCCACTGCAGCACACGCGCCATGGGTTCACCTCCACTGCTGAACTGACCATGTGAGTCAAAACTTCTTAATTAGTTGAACTTCAAAACTGCTTAACTGCTGCTACTGCTCAAAAATATTTTTTAGCTACACAGGGTGGTGCATACCTGTAATCTTGGCTTGGGAGGCTGAGGTGCAAGGATCGCAAGTTTGAGGCCAACCTGAACAATTTATCAAGACCCTGTCTCAAAAGAAAAATATATATCTTTGTCCCAAAGTATTTTTTTTTTTGAAGGAACAAGTTACTTTAACATGCTGTATACTGTTTCATAACTTTAAAGGCTCCTAATTAAAGAGATGTTGGTATGAATGACTTGTGATGCAGGATCACAGGTTTAAGGCAATTGAGTGAGATCCTGACTCAGGGTAAAAAGGGGCTGGCCGTAGTACCTAATGGCTAAATCTGGAAGTGGCCTGCATGTCCTGCAGATGAAGGGATAAAGGAAGTGGCATTTACACAGAGTGGAAGTGTTTACACGCAGTGGAGGTACTTAGACACTCTGCCACAAGGATAAACGAGTCATTCATAGGAAAATGGATGCACCTGGAGACCATAATGTTAAACGAAATAAATCAGGCACAGAAGCTTGAATATCACATAGCTTCTCTTACATGAGAAACCCAAAACACAAAGAACAAAATAAAAGACAGTGGTAGCGGGGAGATCTTTTTCAAGCGGAAAGGGAATAAGACATGGAGGAGAGGGAAGGAGCTGAAAGAGGAACTGGGATGTGTGTGTACATGTCCCAACTCCAACAAGGAATGTAGTCCTGGACTGCAGATGTTCTAGTAAAAAATTTAAAAATAATTTAAAAGGGCTGGGGATGTAGGTTAGTGATAGAGTGAGTGCCTAGGTCTGACCCCTAGTAATAACATAAAAATTAAAATTGAAAAAATTGGGCCGGGGATTTAGCTCAGTGGTTCCCAGCGCCTGCCTTGCAAGCGCAAGGTACCAAGTTCGATCCCCGGTACCAAAAAAAAAAAAAATTGAAAAGATATATATATACATACAGTATGTGGGTTTTTATAAAACTGTTTTGTTTTTTTTTCTTGGTATGGGGGATCAAACTCAGGACCTTGCACTCACAAGGCAGGCGGCAGCACCACTGAGCTAAATCCCTGGCCCAAGGCTGTTTTTAATACTTAATATATTTCAAACTTTTCCCATTGAACATTGTAGAAACAGTTTAAGTTACGAGACAAGTCCTAAACCCTAGTTTGTGTTGTAGCTGCATGGCAGTGGTTCTCACACTTCCCAAAATGAGTTTTCTAGAGAGATTTCAATGTGGTTTCTGGCTCCCACTCCCAGCCGCTGTAATGTAACTGGTATGGAGTGGGGCCTGGGTGACACAACTGTCAGGTTTCCGAGGTGACTGCAGTGTGGAAGTCCCCACTGTTTCGGTGGGCTAGCATCCCCAGACTCCGTGTGCACATTACATGCTTTCCCCTGTGGACCGTGGCAGCACCTTCTAGATGGGATGGCGTTTGCTCAGAAGTAAACTTCCTACGGAGGCTGGGAGCAATCACCACATCACAAGACAGTTTTGCTCTTGGGCTGCAGCTGCTGATAGTTCAGGGGTTTTTTTGATATGGAGTATCTTGCGTTAAAACACTCATGGCTTCAGGCCGGAGCCCCTGCTGTCGCCATGACCCTCAGTACCCAGCGTGAGCTTGCCACCCAGAAGAATATGAAAAAGCAGAGCGACTCCATTAAGGGGAAACGCCGAGATGACAGGCTTTTCTGCTGCCGCCTGCAAGTAGAGGGACTTGGAGATCATGCCGCAGAAACAGAAAAAGGCAAACGAGGAGGAACCCAAGTAGCTTTGTGGCTTCGTGTCCAACCCTCTTGCCCTTAGCCTGTGTGCCTGGAGTCAGTCCCACTATGCTCGAGTATCCTGTAGTGCTCATAGATCCCAACACTGATGGCACTCCCTTTGCCCTGAGTCTGCAGCAGGTCCCTTTTGTGTTTCCTTCCCCTCAAGTAGCCTCTCTCCCCCTGGGGCATCCTGGGGGTGAAGTTACCCCTTCAAATTGTTTTTTATTCCTGTGGGGCAAACCGCAAAGTATTAAAAGTAGCTTTGTAATTCAAAAAAACCACTGATGCTTTACTTGGATTGAGGTCTCACTTTGGAAGTTGTAATATATTTTAGTCCTGAAGCCAAGAGCATTGCTACTGTGTTGCAGTGTCCACACAGAGGTAGTTCCCCTGCTGTGCTGCGGTTCTTCAAAGTTTTGGACGCCCCTGCAAATGGGAGGTAGATCTGCTGGTGCTTTGCAAGGGCAAATCATATTGTTCTGTCCCTAGGGCCAGCTCCCCTGTGTGCAAAGTTCCTAGGGTGCCAGGGACAGTGACTGTGACAGGCTGAAGCACAGTGAGTCACAATCAGAGGACTTTCGGTAGTGTGGTTCAAAGCTTTTCAATATAGGAAGTTTGCCTTTGTCAGAATTAAGGTAGGGTTATCCTTGCTGCCCTTAAAACAGTGTGCTCCATAGGACCCTCACAAAGGAGGACAAGGGACTGAAAGAACAGACCGTAGGGCATTTTGTAAATAACCTCAAGCCCAGAATCCTGTCTGTGGAAGGAAGTTAGTTTATCTGATTACTGACAATTACAGATAGCTTGTTTTGTAGGTGCAGGCGCTGCCCCAGCCCCTATTCCACTTGGGCTTTACCACCTCCTCCTCCTCCTCCTATAGAACCTGCCCCTTGGCCATCAGGATCAAGTCTGGGTGGCTTTGTCTTCAGCTGTTTTTCCCTTCCTGTTACACCTGTCACTGCTGCCTTCAGACCTTAAACCATTGCCTTACTGTTAATTCTAGTGTCTACTGCTTCTGCTGCTCCTTCCTTTTCCTCTTTCCGTGTTTCCTTCTTTACTCTCTCCAGTCTTCACACTCAGAGCCAAGTCAAAGTAGATCATTCCCCACTCTGAATAGTTTCCAAGACCAGGTTAGATTTTTTTTTGATTTTTGCAACAGGGTCTCACTTTGTAGTCCAGGCTAGCCTTGAACTCATATATGTAGCCCAGGCTGGCCTCGAACTTGTGGTAATCCTCCTGCCTCACTCTCCCAAGTGCTGGGATTACAGGTGTGCGCCACACCTGGCTAGGATTTATTTTTAAAAATCACCTCCAAATCAAGTAAATGAAGCAGAAGCTTGAGTTGACCAAAAAGTGCTGTCAATGCAGAGTGCCTGGAAAGACTGAGGAAGTGGACCACTTTAGGATGTCTGTAGCCCAAAAATATCTAAAAAAAAAAAAAGCCTTCGGGTGACAGGCAGAAGCCAGATCAAAAAGGTTAGGCTGCAGAGATTGTATCATGTCAGCAACATGCCCCTGAACTTAAAGCAGCTGCAGTGCTTGAGTGGTGGAGTCTACACTTCAGACAGCTCTGGGGGGCTATCATGGAGACGTCAGCACCGGCTGGGAGCTGACAGTATGGACAGACGGCATGGTGGGAAAGCAGCTGTGCAGAAGGTGCCTCCCAAAGAGCTCGGGACAACCAGGTAAGGGGTGAAGTGCGCAGAGCAGCCCCTGGTTTCCTCTAACCTTAGGAAGAGTTGCTGGTAATGTCACTGAGCTCAGATCAACAGATTTTTGGAGGGAAGAGAGTTTAACTGAACAGTCAGGAGCAAACAGCCAGGTGGCAATTAGAGAAACCCATTCCAGGCTGGAACAATGTATTTGGTCCTAGAAGCTGTAGGTATAGATCCAATTAACATTAGGATGATAGTCCAATAGTAAATATTTAATACTGTTTGGAGTGTATCCGACCCTAGTTCTAAATCTGTAGCATATTAATGCCTTTAACCGTTACCCCTTTATCAGGGAAAGATCCCACAGATTGAATCTTTCTTGGAAAGCTAAAAGAAAGCAGATCAACGGCTGGGGATGTAGCTCAGTGGGGTGGCCACCTGCCTCGAAAGTGCAAGGTCCTGAGTTCAATCCCCAGTACCACACACACACACAAAAGACTTGTTTAGGCAGGAATAAAGCAGAGAGGTGGTCACGGAGAGCCCGGGGAGTTCTGTGAACTAGATGCACAGGGACCACCTGAAGAAATGAAGTGGCTGTTTGAAAACCAGGTTCCTGGAGACCTCAGAACTGTCCCCAGCCAGCATTTGGTCTTCAGGCAAGCAGGTGAGAAAGGAGATGAGATGATCTATGAACTGCTGGTCCGAGGGGTAGGGTCTGAGCAGGCAGAGCTTTGGAGCACAGGTGCCTCCTTCCTGAGGCAGAGCTGCTGCTCAGTGTCACTCCTCAGCAGCGAGGCTCCTAGAGTGCAGCAGACGCGCAACTCCGCAACTTAGCACGTTCGTGAAGTACACCAGCCACCTGTGAGAAGGGTGGCTGCAGGCTGGAACTGACTGTTGCTTCCAAGTCACTTAAGGAGTAAGTGGCCAGATAATCAGTTTGCAGCTTGTTGAGGCTGCAGATTGTGGTGGCACCAAGCTATGCTTCTGGTTTTTCTCTAGTATGTTGGACCCAAAAAGCAAATTTAGGTAATACTGATTTAGTTTGGAGCAACTGGGATTATAAGCCATAGTTTAGGGGGCAGAGGGGACATACCACCAGTAACATTTGGGTCAGGATACCCTATTTTTGTTTTTGAGACAAGGTCCCAAGCTGGCCTTGAACTCATTATGTAGTCTGTCACTGTGACCCTCCGGCCTCAGCCTCCTTAATGCTGGGAATACAGGAGTGCATCACGCCCAGCTAATCAGTATATTTTCTTAACATGTGTGTTTCTAAATGCAGGCTTTAGAAGAACTTATCATGAGACATAGAAGGTGGGTTTTTTTTGTCAGGGGGAAGGTACCGAGAATCAAACTCGGGACCTTGCATTTAAGAGGCAGGCACCAGAACCACTGAGCTAAATCCCCGGCCCCAGAAGGTGTTTTAAGTAGAGTGGTGGAGTTAATACAGCACAGGAAGAAAGTAGTCATGTAAAGTGTCAGCTGTCCTCCACCACACGACTCAGATTCTTAGCAATTGTTGGCAACATCTGTCTGATCTGAATGTCTAATACGATCAACAGTTGTGGAAGGATGCCCTAAAATATCATCTTTGCCCTAAAAGAGCATTATGAAAAACAAGACTAAACAAAAAAGTTAATACAATTAAATGTGAAAATATATAGTACTGATTTTGAAAGCTAGAATAGGTAATGTTTTAAAAGGAGGCAGAATCTGAGATTAACTCCCAAGTTAATCAAGTGAGTTTTTAAGCTTTTATTATTACAAAGTAGCGTCTGACATGTTTATGGAAATGATAATTAGAAAGGAACCTTTATTAAAAAATCTTTGTTCACCTGAGTAGTATCTGATCAAATACACAAAGCTCAAAAAATATTAAGTATCAATTTATCTAAATTTCTTAAAAATACAACTTTTCTTTGTAGTAGGAAAACATTAAGGATAACAGGACCAAGTTTTGTGTGGAATTATATAATTCATGTCATCCTGTATCTCAATTTTTTAATCTGTAAAGGGCTAGAGTACTGTTATTCTTACTGACAAAAGGTCTCACTGAGAAACAAATGATCTTATATGAAAGTGTCTTTACATAAAGTTCTTCTAGTCTAGCCAACTAAAATATTAAATTCATTATGGTACTTAGACCCATAGGTTATGGTAAAGGCTAGAAAGGAAATGGCAACATGCAGACAATCTGCCAGACACTAATATAATGAGACGAAAGAGGAGGAACATTTCTTAGCACAGTAGCAAGAAGGAGAAATAGGATTTATACTGCTTTTCAACTAGAACATCTTTATATGGACTTTGGAATAATTTTTTTGGTACCCAGAATTGAACTCAGGGCCTCATGCTTGCCAGACACATCTTTTTTTTTTTGGTACCAGGGATCAAACTCGGGACCTTGTGCTTTCGAGGCAGGCAGCAGAACCACTGAGCTAAATCCCCAGCCCTGGAATATTGTTTTTAAAAAAAATCACCAGAGACAGAAACACAAGATAAATTTCATTTCTATATTTCAGAAAACCTACTTGAATACACTTTGAAACAAGAGTACAACAAAATAGAATATACTTCAAATGTTGAATATACAAACTATTATAGTTCAAATCTGAACACTGGTACTTTCCCTCTTAAAACATCAACTAAAAAAACAGAAAAATAGGAGGAAAGAAAGGAAGAAAAAAGGGGGATTGGAGGGGAGGGGAAGAGGGAGGGAAGGAGGGAGGGGAGCCAGGCATGACAGCTACCTGACAAAGTTCACGCTGAGCCTGCACTTGCAAGTGACAGTAGAACTGGAACTCGAGTCTGCAGATGCCAGGCCAAGTGAATGACACAGGTATGGTACAGCAAAAGGCCAGAGCCAACTGTTAATTTGTCCACAATTAAGAAACTGACAGACTTAAACTACCATATAAAATGTTACATGTAAATTCTATAACAATACTGTGCTAGGTACAAGATTTTTAAAATTTTTCTTTTAATAAAAAAGCTTTACACAAACAAGCCATTAGCTTATTTCAAGAAAGAAAACTGAAAATTAGTCTAAGGCCTTTGTTTTAAATCAGCTTAAGCTATATGATATTAAGAAAAAAAAATCGCACTAGATCTTTTTTGCTATCTTTGAAGCTTTTGGATCCATTCTTCAATTCACATTCTAGAATACCTATATTAGCAGAGTCTTCACATAGCACCAGTTAAGTGGGTACTGTGCAAGCACAGTAATAATTGCTGGTATGCATATAAAATGCATCAAAATCGCTGTATGTAACAATGAGATCACCCACCCCAATCCTCCCCGCTGAAAATTATACAACCTCTTACAGACGTTAGTGTTCCAAGGCTTAGTGTAACTTGATATTGTAGTGAGCTGCTTGGTCCCTTTTAATCCTTTTTCTCATTGACGGGTTCAGTTGTTTGCTACTGTAAGAGGCAGTTTTCTGTCAGCATCTCAATGTGTAGTTCATTTCCCACTGAAACATGGGATAAGTAATTTATTTCCAGTAAATTTGATTATTTTCTTATATGCATTAAAAATGTTTTAAAGTCTTCTTTTGACTTTTTTGATGACTGACTTCCCTTGCAAATATTTATGTCAATACTACAGTCTGAAGCCAAGGTGGGGTTGCTATTTATTTCTCACATGCCACTAGTCCTTCAGTTTTCATAGTTACAGGAAGGGCAATAGCTGAAGGTGAACTGACAACCACTACATGGGTCACTGTCTTATTCCCATCTGTAGGTTTTTCTTCTACCAGCTGCAAAGTTTTCACATCATGTTCCTGCTTTTTTGCCACCGCTTCGGATTTAACGTCTGGCCCTTTTATGACGGCACTGATAACTCGAGGAGGAGTCTGGCCTGACGCCTGCTGGGCAGGCATGGATAGTCTCATGACAGGCGTTCCATGGGCTAAGGAAACAGGGGTGAGTGCTCTCACCGCCAGGGGGGTGCCAACAATGTTAATGCTCCCCGACCCAGTCAGGCTTGACTTTGTCTGCAGTTGACACTGTGCTAGTTGTGTGGCTGGGATGGTGATAATTTTGGCAGGCTGCATGGTGATTTTGTCTCCGTTTTCAGCAGATGCTGGCATCACGGTAGGGATTGTCTGAATGACTACCTTTGGAGAGGTTGCTGTTGTTGGACTAGTGCTGGTTATTAATGGTGCACCTGCATTTACTGACTGAACAGCCACAGTAGAAATCTTCTGACCCAATGATGTCATTACAACAGGTACTTGCATTGCCACACGAACTGTCCTAGATTGAAAAGAAAATGTTGATTATATATTTGATGCTCAGTTAAGTCTTGTGAACAAAAAGACGAATACAGATCAAAAATGTGTAAAATTAGTGGTCCAAAATTTACAAATGTACTGGTAAGCTCAGAAGTATAGGGTATGAAATACCAAACATATTAAAAAAACCTAACACTCATATTAAAGTCCATCTATAAAATGATACAAGTCAATCCAGGCTAGTTGAGGTGTCTACTTTTAACAACAACAACAAAATGTTTAAATATCAAGCACTTTGAAAAGTCCGTAAAACAGTGGTAGGTTTGGAGAACACCAGCTGACACACACAACAGAGGCATTTCACCTTACCAACAGGGCACATACCCCGACTGCTGGCACGCCTGCCTTACCTTGGAGCTGCTGCTGCTGATGCGGACGCCGCAGTGGGAGACCTGGGTGAAGCATCCTGGCCAGGGGAAGTGATGCTCACAGCTCTAGCCATGGCTTTCTCTGCCCTGGAACAACTGATAGGAGATGAGTTTTTGCCACCACGAACAGAAGCTGCTGCTTTCAGGAGACTTTCTGCAGACAGCGACACTCGTTCTAAGGACTTCTCATCAGCAGTTGCTGCCAAATCTTCATTACAGGTTTCATTTTTGTCATCATCGATGACCACTATATTTTTGGGCATATCCTTGAACTGATACACAAGCCTCTGGCCTTCAACCTTTGCAAGAATTCCCCTTTGGTAGTAGTATCTGAAAAGGAGAAAAATTACTAAATAAATGTATTACTCCCTTCTTCCCCCAATAGACCACACCCAGAAAATACTAACCGAAACGTTCACTTATTCTAATAAGGGATGAGAAGAGCTCTTACTGCTTAACCTGCTCCAAAGCTACAGATTTGGAGTAGGAACGAAGTTGGAACATGGTGTCATAGGCTCTACAACCTTGAGACCTATAAAGTAGCTGAAGTTCAATCAATTTTTTCAAGGAAATAATTTAACTTCAACACAAAATATTTCATTGACAATGGTAGAATTCTATTCTGATTTACACAGGTTATAAAAATTTTTGATGTTGGGGGTGGGGATTTAGCTCAGTGGTTCTGCTGCCTGCCTCACAAGTTCAAGGTTCCCAGTTGGATCCCCGGTACCAAAAAAAAAAAAAAAAAAAATTTTGATGTTATATGGAAAAATTACCTAAGTCACATTTAACTCAGATGAAGCTGTGGGATATACAAATACTGTCACATGAGGTCCACCCTGTTCATTTACAAACCCCGTTATCATGTCCACTACAACAGAAGTTTTAGAATTTTTTAAAAGACCTGTACTTAACAACTTCTGTGAAGAAATAATGCTTGCCAGGCATGGTGGTGCACACATGTAATCCCAGCACATGGGAAGCTAAGGTAAGAGGATCACTGCCAAGTTCAAGGCCAGCCTGGATTACACAGTGAGTTCAAGGCCAGCCCAAACTACCTAGCGAAACCCTGTCTCCAAAAAAGAAAAAGCAACCCATCCATGCGCAAGCCCGCCTCACCGATCCACAGCACCACAGTGCCCAGGTTTCAACTGACCTCACCAAGATGCCACCCCAATTGGAACAGGCCATGGAAACCATGATGTTTACGTTTCACTAATTTGCCCGGAACAAAGGCGAAGGAGGACCTGAGAGTACTCATGGAAAAGGGAGTTCCCTGAAATTTTAGAAAATCAAAAAGAGGACCAGGGATTTAGCTCAGTGGTTCCGGCGCCTGCCCTGCACGTGCAAGGACCCAAGTTCAATCCCCGGTGCCAAAAAAAGAAAAAGAAAATCAAAAAGACCCTCTGGCTGTGGACAAAATCATGAAGGACCTGTACCAGTGCCGAGATGACAGAGTGGTTTCCAGAGCTTCTTTTCACTAATTGCAGGCCTCACCACTGTGTGCGATGATTATTTTGTAGTACACAGGAAGCAGAAGGGAAAGAAGTAGGCAGACTTGAACATTTAGTCCTGCCCTGATCACAGTTCTCCCAAAGGGGCACTTAAGAGCCAGGAATTTAGCTCAGTGGTTCCACCACCTGCTTCATAAGCACAAGGTCCTGAGTTTGATCCCCAGGGTACCAAAAAAAAAACAAAAACAAAGGGGTACTTAAAGAATCTGTCCCTCAGTTTCCCCCTTGTATAAAGATTTCATGAGCAGGGCTGGGGATTTAGCTATGTGGTTCCACCACCTGCCTCAAAAACACAAGGACGCAGGGCTGGGGATTTAGCTTAGTGGTTTCACTGCCTGCTGCGCAAGTGCAAGGACCCAAGTTCAATCCTGGGTACCAAAGAAAGAAAAGTTCGATCCCCAGTACCAAGAAAAAAAAAAAAAAAAAAAAAGACTTCATGAGCAGATCAGGGCCAGAAAATGTACAGATAACATCCACCTCTCACTGGACAAGCAGAGAAAGGAAAGTTAATTAAATGCTAGACAAGCCTTTGATCTTTATATTGTTTGCATACTCTTGCCCTCAATAAATATGTATTTTTAGCCGCCCCCCCCACCAAAAAACAAAAAGCAACAGTCCTAAGTGAAAAAGCACATTTTCTACAAAAATGGATTTTCCAATGATGCTGAAATTGTAGGCCTCTAAACCAAGTCCTTTCTCTCATCTACTACCAAATTTAAGAAGCTCCTCTAGAACATCCTCCAAGGTTACAAGTTCTATTAAAAGATCCTGAGCTTCTTTTGAAACAGCTAACAAATAGTATAAAAAAATAATGTCGTTTTGTTTGAATTCCAGTTCATTCGTGTCCTCACCTCAAAGCGCGTCCCATAGTTTCATAGTTCATGTCTGGCTTGTTCTTATGCTTTCCCCAAAGCTTAGAGACAGCCTTTGAATCCACAAGTTTAAAGATGCCCTTTTCTCTCTGAGTCCATTTAATATACCGAGGACAGGTATTTTTATCTTGAAGTAGATCTAAAAGAAACTCCCACAAATAGGTTGTATTTCCTTTTAAAACAAAGCAAGAATAATGACAAATTAATTTAAAATTCATTAACAAATATGTAATTAAAAGCAAATAAATCATCCTTTTTAATAATAATCCTAAATATACTCTTGCTGGTTTTTAAAAATGTTTCTAGTAGTTCTCTGTACTATCACATACCACTCTATCCTAGACTCTGAGTTCAGTAAAATGCAAAGGCACAATGATTGGCCCAAATTTATTAATTTACAGTTTTGAGTTCTGAATAAACTAAGCTTGCACTTATGTTTGTTATAAGCCCAAATTCTGTATCAAAATTCATCAAAAGGTATTGAATTTTATTAAATAGGCAAGCAGTACGCAATGGAATGTAAGAAACTTTTGGGCATCAATCTTAGGATCTTTTTCTAAGAAATCTACTATGAAGCTCAGTTGCCAGTTTGACTGGATGAAGACACTCCTGGAAGGATGAAAGGGTGCTACAATCATCAGTGGATTAAACCACTGTTCATAACTGAACTTGTTAGGAGGGGCCCAGTTAGAGGTGGTCACTGGGGGCGTGTCTGTGGAGGGTACATCTCTGGCTGGCACTGTTCTGTGCTGACTCCCAGCTGCCACTGAGTAAGCAGCTTTGTCCCAGTACACCCTTCCACTGTGAAGTTTATGCCTTTTTGCCAGCTGAACAGGGACTGAAACCGTGAGCCAAATAAATCTCTCTTTGAAGTGCTAATTTTAGGTAATTTGTCCAGCAACAGGAAAGCTGACTAGGATATATACAGTCTGTAATTCACCTAATAGGCATGAGCTCTGAGGTACATGTATCCTTAAATCCAGACCCAAACTACCAGCTATGTCAGAAGCTTCCAAACTAAACTATTGCAACCTCATCTCCTTCCACTGATGTTCTTTCCTCTAGCATTTCATGTTCATTTTGGATTTCCCTTAAAATTTGAAATGTTCATTAATAACCCATAGTTGAGCCCAAACATTTAAGCATTCTTGTATTATCTTCCTCTAGACTGCTAGTCAGTTCAGATTGTGTGTGTGAGTGCATGTTACTAGGGACTGAACCCAAGGCCTTCCCACTGAGCTATACTCCACCCGCTACCCGCTTTGAGACAAGGTCTCACAAAGTCACCCAGGTTGGACTCAAAACTGCAATCCTCCTGCCTCAGTGTCCCAGATGCTGGGATCACTGGCATGCCAAACCACCATACCTAGCCAGACTAAATAGAAGTTACTGCCTCTAAAAACAGATATTTAAAAATTTCTAATCTCCTTCTGATTAAACCTATTACAGCAAAGATAATACAGTAAAATAATTTCATTATATAGGATCAACTCAATTAAATACATTTGTGCTTCAGTCCTAAAATACAAGCTCCTTAAATGAAAACACTAAAAAGTAACAAGGCAAGGCATCTCCCTAAACTAGTCAAGTGCAGTCTTTCTCAAATATTAAGTACAACACTGGCCCTGGACCATACTACTAGAATGTTCATTAGTGACCCACAGTTGAGCCCAGTATGTACCTCTGGACCTAAAACAAGACTGACCTTCAACTTCACAATACAGTATTACGTTTGTTAATCTCTGAAGCCCTATTATATCAGCATCACTAATCTAAAAAATACTGAAGCTTGTATATCTTTCAACTACAAGTATGGAGCTGGCAGCATTTTTATTTTGTGAAAAACCAGTGGATTATCAGGTCCTATAAGTAGACATACTAAAAGTAGAAATTCTATGCTGGAAGAAATTCTTGTAAAATCCAGAAGATACTTCCAGGAATTTCAATGTTTCTGTTTGTTGAAAAAAAACACTCATCAACATTCCTCGAGTTATCTTTAAGTTCCCATCCCCAGGTTTTAAATTAACATTTCTATTTCTGGCTGTAAGAAAAATAGGATTCAGAAAGGGAAGCCTTTGTCAGGTAAAGTGTGTGTCTGTGAAGGACATGATTATTGTTATTTTGCAAAAGAAACACTAGCTGGATTAATAATCCATGTTTGGAGCTGGGGATTTAGCTCAGTGGTTCCGGCATATGCCGCACAAGCACAAGGTCTGGAGTTCGATCCCCGGTACCAAAAAAAAAAAAGAAAAGAAAAAGAATCCATGTTTGACTGTAATAACTTAATCTTCACATTGCAACATCTACCTCAAGTTTAATTAAGACAAATTTTAATGAAAGGTGATAGAGGAGAGAGGTCAGTGGTAGAACATGACTTAGCATGGAGGAGGCTCTAGCACCACGGAGGCTCTAGCACCACTACTCTCCCAAAAAGATTTTGATTGGTAAAAATAGGTCATCACAAAGTTTTTCTCTGGCGCAAAGCATAACGTCTTTGCATATAAGTGACACCACTGATAACAATTATTTTGAAAACAGTAATAACTGTACATTTACAGTTCAACTATTACTACTATATAACATTTTTTAAATTTTCAATATAAATTAAAAGACAATACTTAGGATGTTAGAAATGAGAATGACCAAAGACAGACAAGGAAAAGAAATTTCTAAAATCTGTCCCAAATTGAATCATTTTCTGAACAAGTATTCCAAAATGTAAGTGGATGGTAAGGGAGAGGTTGTCCAATAAATACCAAGTTCTGTTGTAGACTTACTAGGGACTTAGCTTTTTTGTCTGTTTTCCGCTTGCCCTGAATTCCTGTATTGCTTCCAACCAGTTAAGAAATTATGTATCAGACATGAGTCTTAGTTGTAAGCCTCTTCCATTCAAGTGGCTCTGTGGGGGGAAGAGTGCTACTACACATCCATCCATCCATCCCCTACAACAACAGCCCCAAAGAAGACGTGTGTCAGTGCCCCAAAGGGACTGTTAGCAAATACAAATGTCTGCTCCTTTCTACTCCCCAGAATATAGCTATGCCTACAGAATTGGTATAGGGCATGACGGGGCAGATATTTTGGTAAAGCTCCTTCGGGAAAGCATATCAATCCCCAATTAAGAAATACTACCAGAGACAGTATTACCATATGCTCATGTACCAGATATAATTTTCCTACAAATGCAAAAATGTCCCGACTGGGAAAAAAAAAAAGAATCTCATTTCAAAAAAACAAAACCCTCCCCAAATTACCTTTTCCTTCTCTGGGTTTCTTCTTGATACCTAACTCAGGAGACCCATTGGAAATTGGTGATTGCTGGGTCTTTGGTTTACGGCCAACTGAAAAAATAAAATATTGAAACTGCATATTGAAAACAGTAAAAATAATAAACACATGATTAGCAAATTTCCTGATAATATATTATCCATTAAAGGACCAGGAATTTGTCTCAGGGCACCACGCCTGCCTAGCAAGTGCGAGATCCTGAGTTCAATTCCTGGTACCAAAAAATAAATAAATATTATTCATTAAACTAGACATTATGTGGATTAAAATGAAAAATTAATTCTAAAAACACTTCTGCAGTTTTTGAAAAGAGTGGTAATTTTTTTTCTTTGTTTTTTTTTTAAACAGGGTCTTGCTATGTAGTTCAGACTGGCTTTGAACTCACTATGCAGCCCAGGCTGGCCTTGAACTCATGGCATGTGCTACCAGGCCTGGCTTGGTGATTTCAATGCATGTGCCAAGTCAGGTATTACTAATCCTCATTTGCTAATCTTTTATATTGATACAGCAATAGAAACAAATTCTTTTTTTTTTTTTTTTTTTTTTGGTACCAGGGATCGAACTCGGGACCTTGCACTTGCAAGGCAGGCAGTGGAACCACTGAGCTAAATCCCCGGCCCAATTCTTTTTTTTTTTTTTTTAAAGAAATAAATTCTGTATAAGCATCTTTGTTCTCTATTGTGCAAGACTGTTAGAAACAGTTTTACCTAATTATGCCAGATTTGATAATCCGTGAAGGCCTTTGAGCTCAAATGAAGTAAAAAATATTAAAACTCTATACTGCTCTAGGCCATTTTACCAGAATTTAAGCAAAAATGTTTAAATATCTATACTTCTACATGCAAATAAATACAGTGTATTAAAAAAAATATTTCCAAGTAATTATCTTCTACATCTGGTATCTGTGCTTGTTTTGTTTCTCCTCATTTCTGCCAGGCTCCTGGCAGATTAGCAACCATAAAGAACTTCTGGAAAGGCAAAAGTCCTACTTTCTACACTAGGGAGGGTGTACATTGGAAATGGGTTAGACCCTCAGCACACAGGGATGATGCTGGCCTGCGAAGGGAAACCTGAAGAGAGTTCAGGAACACTACTCAACAATAATCACTACTGACCTCAACTGTCACACTCCTGGGATGTCTGATGTCCTTCTCATCTTCAGTAACAGGATTATCAGATTAACTATATAAACCCCTAAATTGAAATGTCTTAATTCATATGACAAAATGCATAGATACTAATTAGAAATGAAACCCTAGCCTATGGATGTTTTAACTTTTGCCCAAGCAGACTTACTAATTAGAAATGAAACCCTAGCCTAGAGTGTAAGTCTGCTTGGGCAAAAGTTAAAACATCCTGTTCACTGATTGTGCTCGAATGGAGCTCAATTTCTCAATTTAAATAGTTTTTATAAAACTATCCTCTGTCTCTAAATTAAAGCACAAAAAACCAATGCTTGAAAAAAAATTTTTTTGAAAAAGGTTAGGCTGTGTGTCAGGCATGGCCTATAGTTTAGCTGCTAGGAGACAGGCAGGAGGATTACTTGAGCCCAGGAGTTTGAGACCAGCTGGGCAACTAGCTCAAAAAGGCTTAATGTATTTTCTCAGTAGCATTTCTAAATAGTGTATCGGGAGAAATTTAACAGTGCATTTCTTGGTAGGAAAACATGTTCTATGGTCAATGCTACCTTCTCTTGAAGATCCCAATACACATTAGTATATTTAAGGCTCTTGAAATAGCCTGTAATCCCAGCACTTTTTGTTTTTGGTTAGATGCAACTAGCTAAAAGCTTTAGTGGGTAGTGAGTGAATAAGGCCATTTATATGTGTGCTTTTTGTTTTTTAACATATACAGTAGGAACTAATTCTGTCATCTAATCTCTCATTCATGCCTTTCTCTCCACATGTATTATGTGGGGGAAAGGCACTCTTGGTGGGGGGAGGGTGTGTGGGGGGGGGTGGATCTAGGGACTCCAGCATGGTAAGCAAGCATCTACAACTGAGCTACACCCCAACTCCTGGCAGTCTGTCGTATTCTTCATTATCTCTCTCACAGCACTAAGCGCATGGCAGCAATTTCAAGCATTCTATTTAATAAATAAAAGAATATTTTAAGATAGTTTTCTCTTTATTTTTTGCCTTTGATTTCTTTTCCCCCTCTAAAATGCGAAGAGAGGGCTGAGAGTGTAGCTCAGGGGTAGAGCACTCGCCTAGCATGCACAAGACCCTAGGTTTGATCCCCAGCACTAAAAAAAGGAAAAAAAAATTAAACTGCATATAATTTCAATGTACCTATTAAGGTCTACCTTGGAGCCCACCCTTAGGTTCAAAGTAAATACAAAATGTGAAGAAAAGATAGGGAAAAAAGTACCACAATTAGATGATGTCACAGATTTGATCTATACAGGAAAGGATACATTATACTGCGCATATTCTCCTAATGGTGGCGCTGTGCTGGGCCCCTCTGCTTGACAGCTGGGATCAGGAGAGCAGAAAACAATGTTCTTTACCCACTGATAAGTTTACTCCAGTCAGAAGTCTCTACTGGCATTCTTAGTATTTTAGAACAGAAAGTACAGGCAAGAAGAGTATTTGGCTGTTTTTAAAAGTGTCCACAAAAGAGAAAAGATAAGACTACGAAAAATGGAGAAAATAAGTAACATGGCTAACATAACCAAGTACCTATAAAGGCTCATAAATTAGAAAAATGGTAAGACAAATGTGCAGGAGATCGGTCATCTTCCTTTTTTCCAACACCTATTAAAAGCTCACTTTCAGGCAAGTACCTTCAAGGTTTAAATACAACTCCTTCCTGGCTGGAGATGTGGCTCAGTGGTAGACAGAACTTTCCTAGCTCTGGCTTCAATCCCCAGCACCACACACACACAAAAACTTAAACAGTATAAATATGTTAGAACACAATTTTTTGTCTCTTTGAAATTAGTAACAGTCATAAATCTGTAACATTATTTTCTATGTTCGTTGATGGGAATAAAGATACCAGAAAAAAATCTACTTTCTCAGAAATTTATAAATATACTGTACCTTTTTTCTTTTTCATTGGTTCATGGCTATCTGGTGATGTAGGAATGGGAGAGGTATCCATGGGTTCAGACTCTTCCGTTGACACCTCCACTACAGTTTCTGTAATGACATCTGGCCTCATAGCAGCATGGATAAATTCTGGAGTTGATACACAAGGAGGGACAAACACTTCCACTATAAAAAAAAGTTGAAAAATTAAAATTTCCCACCCCCATTAATATTCCTTATGTGGACAGTTTAACAGCTAAAAGTGCTAAGAATAGAACTTAATACCAAGAAAATTAATGTACTGAATACTCAGTATGGTCTAAAGTATACAAGAAAATAAACAAAGAAAAGCATCTTAAAGGTTGTAAGTGGTCACCTCCTCCATCAGTTTTGTGTATTTTTAAGCTCTTTGTAGGAGAACTTTTAATTATTTTCACAGTTAGAAAAACATCTGAAAATAACAATATAGTAGTTCAGTAATAATTATTACTTTTCTTCCACAATTTCTTTTTTTTTTTTTGGGTGGGAAGCATGCTGTGGCTTTAAGGCTGAAGGGCCTCGTGCTAGGCAAGGGCTCTGCCTGAGCTGCACCCCAACACTTTTTACTTTGAGACAGGTTCAGCATGGCCAAGGATGGCCTCAAATTATCAGTATGTTTTTAACTGAGGTTTTACATTTATTATGAAAAGAAATGAAACACGCTCTGCAGAGCGAGTGTGAGCCAATTAAAAGTAGGAAAAGAAGTAAGCTCTACAAAGTGCGAGCGGGCCACACTGAAAGAGCATAGCAGCCAAATCTGCAGTATTTCTGTCTCGGGCTCTGAGGCACTGTGATAACAGGCATGTGCCACCACACCTGGCTCAATAGCATCTTCCAGTATTTAACATTTTTTTTAATGGAACCATTCTGATATTATAGGTCACTAAAACAATACATACAGATTGCTATATCATAATGTAGTTCTGGCTTCCTTCAGATATGCATCAATATGCATTGATATGCAGAATATGACATTTCTATTTCAAAGTAGAGGTACTTAATATATCCTATTGTAGACGAATACATTAACCCATAATGCTGTAATTTTTCTCTCATCTGTCTGAATAATCATGAAACGCCTCTTCCAATTAAAATGTATGGCTGCTCTTAGCATTTATCGTAAATTTCTGTAAAAGGATCAATCAAGTCAGATTACCATCTGGCCATTAAATTACAAATAGGACTAAGTAAAACTAGTAGAAAATGAATATCAAAGTTAGCTAATGGGCTAGGGATTTAGCTCAGAGGTTCTGCCGCCTGCCTCAAAAGCAGAAGGTCCCGAGTTCGATCTCCAGTACCAAAATGAAAAAAAGTTCGAAGTTAGTTAAAAGAATAAAAGGGACCGTAAGAAAACAGTAACTCTAAAAAAAAAAGAAAGAAAACAGTAACTCTCAGGCAGATAGGACTGTAAAGAAGATGGTGTGACCTGCCTCCTCTCTTTACCATGGATGGTTCCCTGGAATTACTGCCTGTTTACCACTGGATAAAGGTTCCAAAGCGGACACCATGTGCCATACTCCTAGAGACCACAGAGGCTGGCAGTTTACCCAGAATTAAAGAAACAGACATAATAAGTAGCTATTCTATAAAGATTTGTGATGTGTGGTCATTTTCTGTACTACTTACTATGAAAGTAAAGTATTTGAGGACCTTACCAAAAGATCAATTATTATTATCAGATCTTCATGCATAATAGACCTTTGAGAATTCCAACAATACACTTGGCATTAAAAAGAAGTCCTTATTCTATTAAAAAGCAACAGACATGTTTAGTATAAAAAGGAACAGTCCACATACCAGGACTTCTGGAATCCCTCAAGCAGGTAGGAGACTCCATATGAAGCAGGGCTTCAGCAGCTTCAATTGTCTTATCAGTACAGTGTGCATTACTGCTGTGAACTGATGCTTCCACTGGGGAGAAAACAGATAATTAAAAATGAACTACAAAAATATTTCAATATATATGCTAATTTGTTTCATTTATACCACTAGATCCTCTTAGTTCATTGAAAGGAAAGTTTTGTGCTTATCTGTTTGTTTGGGGGTTTTTTTGGGTTTTTTGGTACCGGGAATTGAACTCAGGACCTTGCGCTTTTGAGGCAGGCGCTGGAACCACTGAGCTAAATCTCCGGCCCAAAATTGGTCATTTCCATCTCCCATCTCAATTGGGTTTTTTTGTTTGTTTTTTGGTACCGGGGATCGAACTCTGGTCCTTGTGCTTGTGAGGCAGGCAGCAGAACCACTAAGCTAAAACCCCGGTCCTGGTTTTTTTTTTGTAAGAGTCTTTTTTGGCTATGACTTGTACTCTATTTTTTTAAGATTATGGTACACAGTGAATCAACTGTTATTCTTTAATTAATTTGTTATGAAATTTTGGCTTATTTTTTCAAAGACTGTTTTTAAAAAACATTTCATTAATATCTACTTGTATTACGATAAAAGTTTTTCCAAACCAAAAATAAATAAAAATGAACTAATCACATTACTCAGCATACATACATTGTTTTTTTTTTCTCATTGGGAATTGTACCTTTCTATAATGCATCTTGGTCAACATACATACATTTTAAGAAATAAACTTTCATGTGAATAACTACATAAGCCACTGATACATTAGTTCTACAGCACTTATAGAAATAGGGCAATATCTGTATTTTATAAAATGAATATTGATTTAAAAGAAACTAGGGGGCCGCGGATTTAGCTCAGGGGTTCCGCCGCCCGGCTTGCGAGTGCAAGGTCCCGAGTTCAATCCCCGGTACCAAAAAAAAAAAAAAGAAAGTAGTGATACTGACTAGAAATTAATGAGAATTTTCCAGATCTTCTCCAAATGAAAACAGAGATCCCTCTTTTTTTAAAAAAAAAAAACAAGGCTCTCAATATGTAACCCAGGCTGGCCTCAAACTGGAGATCCTCTGCCTCAGCCTCCCAAGGGTTGGGATTACAGGTGTGTGTTACCATTGCCCCAATAAGAAAGACCCTTGAAATTTGAACTCCCCATCAAAACTAATGGATGGATGTGTGTTTGAAGACTAACAATCATTTTGAGGTCAATTATGTATTTTGATGTATTGCAACCAAAACAGGAATAATACCTAGAAGAATCAGATACACTACTTTCTAATTTAATGAATTAGTTCAAGTCTTATAAACTATCCCAGATGAACAAATAGATAATCTCTAGGCAGAGCTACCTGGAGATAGACAAGAAACCTACACTTGCTTTAGCGCTACAACTCAAAAACTTTCTTCTTCAATACCTTTTTCTTTTCTTCAAAACCTCCCTTGCAGTTGCTGGGTTTCACTGATAAAAAAATTTTTTAGTTTTTTTTCCTTTTGCCCCTGTGAAGCCTTTCCTAATTCCACCAACCTTTGTGCCTCTCTTCTACATTTTATGCTATGTTATTAAATTACTTGTGTAAACAGTAAAGTGTATAGGCAGTGGTTTGGGCTTTCAGGTCCAGCAGCTTAAATTCTAGTCTGCCACTCAGGCAAGCAATTTAATCTCTTAAGCCTCAGTTTCTTTTCCTCTTTCACAAAACAGGATTATTATTTACCTCAAGTAAAGTGAAATGATTCCCATAAAAAATTTTGCACAATGCCTGGCACATAAAGAATGCAATAAATGGTGGCTTTGTTTCTACATTTTAAAAAATGTACTGGTGATTTCTTATTGCTCCCCTAAGAGTCTATGCTCTTCGAGATCAAAGGGACTGCCTTAACCCAACTATCTATCGGCTATAGTTTCTAACACAGACTTGTCACACAGCAGGCACACAAGTATTTCTTTTATGTGCTAAATTAAGGACAAGCCACTGACCTTACGAAGAAAACTGGCACGTCAAGAACAAATCTACTATCTTAATGATATATTAATTACACATTCAGACTTAAAATACTGAATAATTTACTTAGTAAAAGGTTGTGAAACATTAATATGTAACAGTTTCTAACTTGATTTTTCTCAAGATGTCCCTCAAGGAACTAAAAGTAAATGTTTATTCAAATTTCATAAAAATCATATTACAAATTCACAAGCTCCACGTACTTAAGATATGAATTTTTAAAAACTGTTTTCAGGGCTTTTACTTGGGAAAAAATCCACCTAGCCATAAAAATTCACCAAATGCTGAAGTCTCAGCCTTAAACACCAGTTATTTGGAGAATGTTTGTTTTAAAAATCCAGGGACTGTTTTACCACCTGTTGCACATCATCCACACTCTCAACCAAGGTACTAGGTCTCTCCAGTTGCTCTTTCCATTTATGGCAATCTGCTCAAAGCTAAATGGTTCCAGAGAGGCAGCCAACCCTCTAAGTAAATCTATCTTTAGGTGACCCCACTTACTCTTATCTACAGCTTCACTGAAGCAAAGGATTCAGTCAGCCTTTCTAGCTCAACTTTAAGAAACTTAGCATTAAGTATAAAGTACACTACTATTCTCAAGTTATGTTTTTCAAAGTGCCTCCCTACAATCCTCCCATACACTAATGAATCTAGGAAAGCAAAATCTCAGGTTTTTTAAATTTAACCTAGGAACCATTATCTTTAAAGTCAGCTTGGTGTTGCCATTTATCTGTTGTCTTAGGTGCTATTAATAAACCATCCTGCGAAAACTAATTCCTTATGTAATTGTATTAAGACACTACTGTATTAAAGTCAGAGCTTCCAGCATTTAATAATTATACACAAGTAGGATTTTACTAGACTTTAAGTTATAAGCAAGATGCAGTTTGCCTAAGGGTTACATATGACGCGCCAGACATTCTAAGGTAGTTTGAGGTACATTTTCAAACCATGAACTTCATGTCACAAAGTTCGTTATGTTAGTAAAATTCCCTCCACCCTCCCTCTCACTGGGGATTGAAACCAAGACCACATGCAAACTAGATAAGCCCTCTACCACTGAGCACGCCCAAGCCCTTTATTTATTTGTTCGTTGTTTTTGAAACAGCCTGGCTAAGTAGCCCACTGGCCTTAAACTTGTGATCTTGGGGCTGGGGATTTAGCTCAGTGATTCCGGCACCTGCCTCACAAGCACAAGGTCCCGAGTTTGATCCCCAGTACCAAAAAAAAAAAATACTTGGGATCTTCTTGCCTCAGTCTTCCAAGTAGCTGGGATTACAAACTAAACTTACAGGTGTAGCCAGTATGCACAGCTTGATTTCTACCTTTTTTTGATAATTGCTACTTTTACTTCCTGCTGCTTTTATCTACCAATTCAAATATTTCTACACACAAAAAAATCTAAGATCCTACTCTCAAATCAATTTACAATATAACAATAACATTGCCAAGAATATATTACCCGAATTACAAAAGTGAGCACTATATATCTTTATGTTTGTTGACATAAGTTTGTAATTTTTTGGGGGGGGAGAGGGTCTCACAGTATAGACCCGGGTGGCCTCAAACTGATGATCCTCCTGCCTCAGCCTTCTGAATGCTGGGAATACAAGCATGTTACCACCATACCCAGCTAACAAGAAATTTTTGCTAAGAGTAATTTAAGGTGTACTTCTCCTAGTCATGTTTCTGCTATTTAAAATTTATTTTAATACTATTTTTCCAGATCAGTAATTCAAATAATTTGAAACTGCACAATTCTAAAGAATAAACATGAATTTAACAGTGTTGTGCAATCAAAGCAAGCAAACTAAAAGCAACAGCTAAAAAATAACGTTTCTTATATCTTATTTAAAATCTGATTGACTAGTATTGTCTCTAAGTCCATGGTATGAAATTTATTATAGAAAAAAATAAGCAACTCATTACAACAGTAGAAACAGTAAAGTTAAAAGTAATTGAATAGGTATCATTTTCTAGTCGTTGATATTGCTGCTCAATCCTCCTTGAAGAAATAAATGCCATCAAATATATTACAAAAATTATTTTAACCACAGTGCTTGTTTGTGCCTTCCTTGACTATTGGTAAAAATATTCTTGTTCCACTTCTATCTCTCTAATCAACTGGTGTTTGTATGGTAGAGTATTCCAGACTCACTCAACAGCTGTTAGAAAATACCAAACTTGGTAATTAAGTCCGACAAGAGGCATACCTCTCAGCTTTGCATCAGAGAATGCTGGCAATGGATGCAGTACCTAACAATGTTCTCAGAGTCAAAAATAAAATTTAGTAGCAATTTAGTTTGAGAGCAATGGGAAAAAAATGAGAAAACACTTAAGTCATAGTGCCTTACAACCAACACCATAAACTAATGTTACAAGGTCATCCTTCACTCTGCTACTACACCCATTTACAGCTTATCCTCTAATGCCCCCAGGCTTTAACACAAATGAGTACAATAAACGGAGGAAGAATCTGGGATACTCTACCTTTATCTTGTTCCCCTTGACCTGCTGTTAATCAATATAGTGGCCATTGCAAGGTTTAAAAGGGAAAAGGAACTAACGTATTTTCTAAACCAGAGCTGTCCAATAAAACAGAAGTCATATATAATTTATTTCAGTATTGAGGACTGAACCCAAGACCTTTACACCAAATGAACCCACATCCCCAGCCCACTTTTGTTTATTAATTTTTTTAAAATTTTTTATTAGTACATGTTTGCAGTACATAATGATGACATTCACTGTAGGAAATGTGGTACATGCACATAACACATCCTCAATTCTTTGTCCCCCTTCCCCTCCACCCACCTTTTAATTTTTTCTTTTGCCAGCATCAGATTCACTTTAAGTCTATTTTAGTACATGTGCTGCCGAAGCAAGCATGAGATTCACTTTGAGTCTTTATCAAGTTCCCAGCTCATTTTTTATTTTGAGACAGGGTCTTGCTAAATTGCCCAGGTTGGGCTGGAACTTGCAATCTCTTGCCCCAGCCTCTCAAGAATGCTGAGATTACATGTGTATCACTACACCTGGCTTAAGTCACATGTAATTTAAAATTTT